GTTAATAGAGGAAGTGCTGGGAGGAGTGGGAGAGATGGAGTACACAGGAGGTCTGTGTACTTCCTGGTCAATTTTTCTATAAGCCTAAAACTGCTCGAAAAATAAAGTCTATTAAAATAAAATAAAGGGCAAATATCAAACAAAAAAAGACATATAAGATAAACCTCATTTTCTTTTTCATTAGATTCATTAGACCTAAAATTACTCTGTCAAATTATTGTAAAAGTTTCTAAACTCTCTCAATTTCTATGCTTACCTCATTGCAGACTGGGAACAGTTCAAACTCTACTTTGAGTGATCTGGGCACCTTTTACTAAACACAGTCCTGTTTGCAATCACCCTGGTGCAACTAGGGCACCTTCCACTAAACACAGTCCTGTTTGCAATGACCCTCTTACTGCCTGGTACCCTGTGGGAAAGGTGATAGTCTAAGGGCAGTCTATCCCCTATAGAATGTAGTTGGACTATCACCTCCATTAACTATACTTTGTACTTCTAATAATTCAGTCTGAAGCTGCACTAGCTTTTTAGCCACTGCAGTGCCTTTGGCTGACACTGGCCTTAGGCAGCCAAAACCACAATTTTCATAAGAATAGCATCAGGCTAGGTCTCCTCTAGGCTCCCCATATTTTGCCATTTCTTTCAGACTTAAAATATAGAACTTCACTGCCATCCACCTTAAATTTCATCTTTTTTGGCTTCAACCCACCTTTTCAAGCTCACTCGTTCTCACTCGCTCATTCTCTCTCTCTCTGTCTCTCTCTCTCTGTGCCATCTAGCATAGTAGTTTTTCCTTCCAGTCTTTATCACCTGCAAATCTAGTAAGTATTCTATCTCTTCAAACATTTATCAAACATCTACCATGTGCCCTTGCCTGTACTTGGTTACAGGGATTAAAGATGACCTAGAAATGGCCTATGACTCCAGGAATCACCACTAATAAGGGAGAGTGGCATACATAAAACTGTAAAAAGTACTGCACTAGAAAACCGAATAAACAAAATAAACAGGATAAGATGGAAGAAACTACAAAACATGTATCATATAGTATAAGGCAGGACCACTAATATCTTTAGCAAGGAAGATCAAATTCAGGCATCTTCTGTTCTAGATTTCAGTTCTCAAAAACCAGATGCTGGTTTGGTTATAGAATGCAGACCAGCCAGCTCACATGCTGTCTCTTTCAATGGTGGGTACTGCTATAGGAAGCTTGGCTAACCATGGCTTCCTCTGATGAAATACAAGACTCATGAAATTGAGGTATATTAATAAGAAGCCAGCATTTTATTTATTACTGAGGGCTAGTAAATTATAATCAAGGAAGAAACTATTAGCTAAAGAAATGAAAAAGCAGAATCAAATGAGGTAGAAGGGACTTTAAAAGACTAAACTACATAGTCAATGAAAGAAATAAAATCCTACATATATCAAATAACTGGCCCAAGTTTACACAAGTTAGCAGGTAACTTGTTTTAAGTGCAATTACTCCTTGCATTTATATAGTCCTTTGGTTTTCCAAAGTAAATAATTCACAAACTATTCATTCAACCCATGGATCTTGACCAGTGATGTTTTGTCTATGTAGTCATCTTAGCCTAATCAGGCCCTTTCAGGTCATTCAGCTGACTTCTACAAGCATATGAGTTTGCAACCACTGTTAACACTATACAAAGGCTAATGAACAGTAATAATTAGCAAAATTTGTTTAGACATTACAGGTTTCAACTGATAGTGGCTATAGGATTTGAAAGTGATTGTTTTTACTTGATTCTTGTGCAACCACAAATAATTTAAGACCAATACATTTACTGATTGAGAATTACAACTTCTGATATTACCAGTTAAATGTAGGAGGAAGTGGGGACTTCGCTGGTGGCGCAGTGGTTAAGAATCTGTCTACCAATGCAGGGGCCACGGGTTCGAGCCCTGGTCCGGGAAGATCCCACATGCCGCAGAGCAACTAAGCCGATGTGCCACAGCTGCTGAGCGTGAGCTCTAGAGCCTGCAAGCCACAACTACTGAGTCCGTGCACCACAACTACTGAAGCCCGCGTGCCTGGAGTCTGTGCTCCACAACAAGAGAAGCCACTGCAATGAGAAGCTCACGTGCCCCAACGAAGAGTAGCCCCTGCTCACCGCAACTAGAGAAAGCCTGCACGCAGCAACAAAGACCCAACACAGCCAAAATAAAAAATAATAATTTAAAAAAATAAAGTCTTTAAAAAAAATGTAGGAGGAAGTCAGTCAACAATGATGATTTGGGTTCTATTAAAATAGTCACCTAATATACCATTCTTTCTTGTAATTACATGGCAGAGCCAGTTGTCTATTAAGGACTATGGAATGAGGTGGAGAATAAAATAAATAGATAACAATAATGGCTTACCAAAATACTTCAAGAAAAGAAATAAGCAATGGAAGGATGGAAAAGGGGGGAAAAAGGCAAAAATCTATTCAGTGCCAGTCAGATACAAAGCAACTAACTAAATCAAAATGTACACGAAGTTCAAACAAGGCAAAAAGTACAGAGAAGGGAGACACCAACTACATCTGTACAGCTGGGGGAAGTTTTGTGAAGGAGACAGTATTTGGGTTGGGTATTAAAAAGGAGTAGAATTTTCATAAATAGAGGTACTGAGAATGGGGGTGAGGGTTGAGAATCCCCTTGAGGGAGCCACAAAAGCAAAGGCCCAAAGGAGGAAAAAGCATGAGCTCTGTTTAGGAAATAATAAATAATCTAGACATTCAAGGAAATAGAAAAATAATCTCATCATTCATTCACCATTTACTGAATTTGTTCTACATGCCAGATACAGTGCAGTCACAAAGGATGAAAATATGAGGAGACCTACTTCTTACTTTCAAGAAACAGAGCATTTTTAAAGACAACAGAAGACAAACCTGTGTCACTGGCAGTCAGACTTAACAGATCCAAAAATCTGTTCCTTCTTCACCTGTCCCCATCTCAATGCAATTCTACTCCTCCAATTACCCAAGCCAAAAATCTGATTCATCTTTTTTTAATATATAAAAATTTATTTATTTATTTTTGGCCGTGTTGTGTCTTCGTTGCTACGCACGGGCTTTCTCTAGTTGCAGCGAGCAGGGGCTACTCTTTGTTGCAGTGCGTGGGCTTCTCATTGCAGTGGTTTCTCTTTTTGTGGAGCACAGGCTCTAGATGCGTGGGCTTCAGTAGTTGTGGCACGTGGGCTCAGTAGTTGTGCCTCACGGACTCAGTTGCTCCGCAGCATGTGGGATCTTCCTAGACCGGGGCTCAAACCTGTGTCCCCTGCATTGATAGGCAGATTCTTAACCACTGCGCCACCAGGGAAATCCCAATCTGATTCATCATTGACTCCATTTTTTCTATCACCTTTACCTCAAAGTCACCAGCAAATCCTAACAACTCTACCTTCAATATATATCTACAATCCAATCACTTCTCGTTACCTTTACTGCTACTGCCTTGGTCCAAACCATCAGCAACTTCTACCTAGAATAGTGGTTCTCAATATTTGGAGGCTAGGGGGGAGAGATTTTTCTCCAAAGGAGAAATTTGGCAATGTCTAGAGAAATTTTTGTTGAAACAACTGAGGAGGTACTACTGGCATCTAATGCGCAGAGGTCAGGAATGCTACTAATAATACTATGATGCACAGGACAGCCCCTCGCAACAAAGAATTATCTGGCCCAAAATGTTAACAGTGGAGAAACTGTGACTTAGAGTATTGCAGTAGACTCTTAACAGATCCACTCCTGCCTCCCAGATGATCCTTTTATAATGTAAGTCTCAGATCACATCACTCTCTTCTGCTCAAAATCTTCCAGTGGCTTCCCAAGTCCCTCAATGTAAAAGCTAAAGTTCTTAGGAAGACCTACAAGGCCATACATGATCTTACCTCTATCCTCCTCCTCCACCCCCCATCTTACCCTGCTACATCTCTGACCTGGTCTCCTACTTCTCTCTCCTTCACTCACGCTGCTCCAGGCACAATGGTTTCCACCAACAGGCTATGTACACTCCCACCTCTGGGCTTTGGTACCTATGGTCACTCTGCCTAAAAACACATTTTCCCCCAGATATCCATATGACTCCTTTCCTCACTTCCTTCAGGTCTCTACTCAAATATCACTTCATCAGAGGTCTTCCCTGACCACTCTTCATAAAACGACAGGAACCTCTCTTCACCCCATCTCAGCACTCTTTATTCCCTCCTACTCTGCTTTATTTGTATCCATAGCACTTACCATCAACTGACATATTTGTTTGCTTTTTGGTTGACTCCCACCAATAGAACATATGCTCCACAAGCAAAAACTTTTCCTTTATCCCGCGACCTAAGAACTATTCCTTGCACACAGTAGGAGATTGGTAAGTAATGGCTGAATGGATGAATAAGTGAATGAATAAGTGGAGCTGGAAAGACCAGTCAGGAAGAAACTAGAAAGACCAATGAAGGCCAGAAATGTGGATATAATCTTAGAATTGGCCTAAAGAAGAGGTTGCCCAAGAGTGATTATCTTGTCATATGCCATACAAATCACCTTGTCTTCTCCATCAAATAGAGACAGAGAGAGTAACGGGGAATTCTATTTTATATCAATATAAGAACATTATAATAATCAGAAGTATACAATAATGAAATGGATAATCTTTAAAGTATTAACACCCTCAATCAACCTCTCAGCACGTAGGATGCAGTAACAAACTACTCTCCCATAATTTTCCCCTCTGCTTATCCTTTTGAATTCAGTTCAAATGTCACCACCTCTACCAAGGTTTTTCCAAACTCCCTCAAACAGAGTTAGCCACTGCTACTTATGGTCCTCAGAGCAATCTGTCCACTTATCTCAATTTACTAAAAGTGTTTGTTAATATATTATTATGACTGAATTCTGCCCTCCTTACCTCCATAATTCATATGTTGAAGCCCTAACCCCATCTGTGACTGTATTGGAGACAGGGCCTATAAAGAGGTGATTAAAGTTAAATGAGGTCAAGGAAGTAACTTCAGAGGAGGATCTGATGGATATGGAAGTGGTCGTGGATTTGGGGATGGCTATAAGGGGTATGGAGGAGGACCTGGAGGTGGTTAATTTTGGAGGTAGCCCTGGTCATAGAGGAGGAAGAGAAGGATATGGTGGTGGAGGACCTGGATATGGCAACCAGGGTGGGGGCTACGGAGATGGCTATGACAACTATGGAGGAGGAAATTATGGAAGTGGAAATTTTAATAATTTTGGAAATTATAATCAGCAACCTACTAACTATGGCTCAATGAAGAGTGGAAACTTTGGTGGTAGCAGGAACAAGGGGGGACCATATGGTGGAGGAAACTATGGTCCAGGAGGCAGTGGAGGAAGTGGGGGTTATGGAGGGAGAAGCCAATATTGAGCTCGTTTCTATTTACCATGGGCTTCACTGTATAAATAGGAGAGGATGAGAGCCCAGAGGTAACAGAACAGCTTCAGGTTATCGAAATAACAATGTTAAGGAAACTCTCATCTCAGTCATGCATAAATATGCAGACTACACCAGAGGAGATGCAGAGAGCCATTTTGTGAATGGATTGGATTATTTAATAACATTACCTACTGGGGAGGAAGGATTGTAAAAAAAAAAAAAGCCTTTGAGACAGTTTCTTAGCTTTTTAATTGTTGTTTCTTTCTAGTGGTCTTTGTAAGAATATAGAAGCAGTCCTTCTTTGATAATGTTAAATTTGTAAGTTTCAGGTGACATGTGAA